GTATGTGTTGTTCACCCAACACGATTCCAAGTGACTTTCACACAAGAGAGGAGAGCTACTGGTCACCTTCCATCACAGACTGTGTAAACCAACGCGATACGGATTACAACTCGAGACTCTGTGATGGTACTGACTCAGCCTCAAGTTTACTGGGACACACTGGGGTAACTAAAGGAACTATCTCTTGTTTATATCCTGAAAGTGGTAGCTCTTGCATGCTCTTTAGCCCACGATAAAGTTCCCTGAGTAAGCCTCCTGCGGCTCAGTCAAGGTTATTTAGCTCTTTAATGTGACGTCACGGGTTAATGACCCATAACTTCGTCATATTGGACGTCAGTCTGCAACAAATTAAGATACGCAGCACGTACATAATTTCTCACTATTCTGAGCCTTTATGATGTTTATTTCTTGTTGTGCTGCTAAATGTAGTAATCAAAATTTAGCACTTGCATCTCTAAGGATTTTGAAAGATGTGTCGTGAGACAGAATTACAGCTAACTTATAACCGAGTAGTTGCTGTACTGAGGTTAAAGCGTAATAGTTATTAAGGCTGCATGTCACCTGTACACCACCAACTAAAGGGCTTCTTAATCACCAAGATTATGTTGCCTGACGGATATGATGGATACACGCTGTTTACTGGATAACCTTTTGATCACAAGGCTCGATGTTTGCTTCCATGTAATCGGAATCTACATCACTGGTATTGTCACAAGTTTTTTGCGATCACTTTTAGTTCTAGTTGTCTCACTGAACACTTCTGCAGAAAAGCGCAGCGTTTCTAGTTCGTCCTAAATTTCAGATTTATTACTCGATGATGCCATGTTAATTCTAATGGATATCAGTGCAAAAATTGACTGTTTCTACCTTTATACTTAGTAATCCTCCTTAACGACACAGTTTTATCACCGGTCCTTTGACGCTACATAATTCTGAATTATGTCAAAATCCTAAAACATGCCCTTAAATATTGCTTAATAAATCACAAGAGAAACGTACATACAGCGCCACAAATGACTTTCACTGGCTTATGAAATCACACAACCAGCTACAGTGTCGTTACCCCGAGAACAATTGTTAACTTGTGCTAATAGCCCGACGTGGTTATAAAGTAATTATCAATATCAAATGTGATAATCTAGAAATATTTACAGTTATCTGAGAGAGGTTAAGACTCTTAATCGGAAAAAATATACCCAATAGACAGCGAGCAAAGTTAATGTTCAACCTTAACTAACAAGACTGTGTCTTAAGACAATGTTCTTTACCAAACATTGGATCCTATCCTTACAATTAAACAAAAATTAAAGCTCCTCACCCCTTGCCTGCAATAAAAAAAAAATGAAAAACACAGAAAATGTGAATTTATCGTTTCTGCCATAGGTAAGACGTCACTCGATCAACACAGAATGAAGCAAGTACCTGCTGTATATGACTCCTTATTTCTTAGTCAGCTGATACCCAGGCTGACTAGGTGTGTCTACGTGCAGACTAAATTTCCTGGCCAAATTTACCCAGTGTTTATGTTTATCAGATTAAAGCTTAACTGCAATAGGCTTTTCAGCCAAATAGTTTGTACCGCAGCCATGGATACTGAAGGTGACTAAGGACCCTTGAGTGTAAAACTAGGTGCCTGAAGGTTATTCGTGAGTGCTGTATGATCTATCACACTCGAGGTCGTTAGTTTAACACATATGCTTATCAATACAAGTTAGCTCGTTCAATATGGCTGACAATTTTAAAGTCACGTTATTGCAAAACCCTCAATTAACCTATTTTAAAGGATATTCCAATTACGACATTCATTGCTGAATAACTCATACAAGTTTAGGGGTGTTTGTAAATAAAATGCTAGTAATAATAAAGAAAAAGGCACAATACTGTGACTGGAACAATGCACAAATAACCCATTAACTAGTCACACCACTTAATGGTCGAAGTCAAACACAAACGTCGTCGTAAACATCAGTTTCCTAAGTGCGGGTTATTTATAAATAATATTCTCCAGTTTCGTCATAACACCACTGACTTAACAACACACAGAATATTACTGATAATTACATTTTGATTAACAATAGCAAACAGATACTTGCATAAAATAAACAGAGCAACACTGTATAATACATAAAGAACATTCCCAGTATCACTGATAAACCAACCCAAAAAAAAAATTCATACTATAACGATAATAATGTTTCCCTTGCTAGATACTGATTATGTTAATAAAGATCACAATGTAGTAAAGTATGCTTTTTTAACCACTCTATATATCTACTGTAATTAAGTTGACAGCAACTAACTATCCAAGGTTTTACCGTCGTGCTATAAACTACAAACCTCTTAAATGTTTTGCATATACAGGATTATTTGCCTGTCCTGTCTTATTTACAGAGTAAATATCAATAAATCCTACTTGCATTCATTAAAGTATTATATTTTTCGTTGTTAAATTAGTATGTATGTCACAGAATCCGATTAAAGTCCCTTGATCAGGGGTTTGTTTATCTTGTTTCCTGCCTGTAAAATAATGTAATATGGATATTACAGAGGGATATTGTTGACGTAGATGTAATGAACGAATGTGGGATATCATAGCAATATTTAAAACGAAGTTATGAATATTCAGTTAAGAAATTTTTGTATCATAATACTCATAATCATAAAAATATCTTTATTTCTACAAGTACATGCACAGGGTATATTGGCCTAGCTGTATATGCTTGATATGCTGAGCATGTCCGGCATATTAGGTCAGTTTTGTTCCAGAATGCGACCCACCCCAGTCCACTAACACCCAGGTACCCATTTTATACTGACGAGTGAACATGGACAGCAGGTGTCTTATGGAAACACGTCCCTAATGTTTTCCAGCCGTACCGGAGATTCGAACTCTGGACCTTAGTGTGTGAACAACTATGAAAAAGAAAAGAATTGATTTAAAGCTATGAGCTCAAAAATAGCATAGAATTATACTGAAGAAAAATGTAAATTGTGTAATAACGTCGGTTTCTTCAACTTGATGTGGGATGAGAGTTAGGGACAGATTTTGAAAGTGCAAGTTTTTGAAATTAGAAACCAAGTGAGAGACTAATTATTTTGATAAGTTTTCATGCATGAGTTGAGGGCACTCGTGTGGATGTAGTGATAAAAAAATATGTAGTAAATATACATATGTAGTATTATGTAGTAGGATACAGGTACTTAGTAATAAAAAATACATTGTTGAACAAAATTATAAATGCGTGAAAAAGTTCGCAGATAAAGCAACTGGTGAAAAGATTAGAAATACTGATTGGTGTTCATGTTCCATATTCATCAGCAACGAAAGTGTCGTTGTCCGTGAACAAGTTATTGAGATGGAGACCAAATGTGTCCCTCGGAAAAGACAGTGAAGTCACTGGAGGCGGAGCCTACTAACAGATGTACATGAGAATTGAGGAAGACTAAAACAAGTCTATTGGCCTATGTTAGGCAGGTCCTCATATCTAACTTTTCTCACACATAGCTAGTGGTTGAGCAATGAAGCTGTAGATGTCTCCGTACCAAGATACCTTTGTGTTATTTTATCAAATATTATAATAATGGCCGAGTGACTAACGTCCATAAAACGTCTTCCTTGCAATGGATTGATCATATCTTCATCTTACCTATTCATGTGTGATGAAGTCTGACATGTAAATACATCGTGTGTGATGGAAATGCAAAAAAAAAAAAAAACATCATTTGTGAGAGAATATGGCAAGGATAGTTGTCGTTATTGAGAGTGAGTTACCCGGTGATTGACATTAATTAATCAGACTATCAAACCCATTAGAGATTCCACTCATCTCAAGTTTGGAAACAGATGGGCTGCCCTTTATATGATGAGCTATTACTAAAAAACCTACTCAGTACTCACCCTTTCTGGTGTCCTGGTTGACAATTAGCTCCTGGACCCAGATCCAGTTGCTAATGCCCAGTACACTGGCGCTCTGTGCAATGAAGCGCCGCTTCATCTTACCATGTGACACACTGGTTATGACACCAGTGTGTCAGAATTAAATACCACATCTTAATAGGATCCTACTTTGAAATATGCAAAATTACTGGGAATGGTGCCTGTGAAGGCTTACTCAGCCCTGTAACAACTTCAGTCAGTATTACTAAGGCTGGCTCCTCCTCAGGAAAATTAATGCTTTATTATTTAGAAAATATAAAATATAAAACACTTAAATATGAAATATTGATCCTATATTAATGAAAAATGAAGAATATAAAAGATATCTGAATTCAACGCTAATATATATAAAACTTGGGTGTCTGGTGTTGGTGACACTGCGTGTTGTTGAAATCATAGCCGTTGCTGATGATGGGGGGGGGGTGGCAGGTGTTGGTGACAACCCACCGGCTCGTTCTTCACAGAGTCTATAGCCGTTAAATAATCTATCCAGATGACAGGAAAGCAGGTTCTTTACCGCTGCAATGATGAGGGGTTACGTCCTGCAACTTCATACATGTGCACAGGTAAGTAGATAAAACATGGGACGTCTCAGGACGTTAGTCCGTCTCCTTCAATGCTACTCGTGTTCGCATCGCTATTGGGCCGTGCGGACGTGCTGCGCAGTAGCTCCTGATTGAGTTGGCTTTTGCGCAGTGTTGACGTGTACTTAGCTCTGTGAAGACCTGTTTGCGCGCTCTCTACGAAATGAAGCAAGATGCCCTCCATCGAGCAACTTTACCAACAGCTTAAGGAAAAATTGAGGATGGCGAAGTTGAAGATTCGGCGACTGACCGAGGAAAACAAGAAGATTCGTAGTAGTCCTCCTGTTTTGAGTCCTCAGGTCAAGAAGGGAAACTGGTCAGTGGCTCGACAGCAGGGAACGAAGTAGACGATCAAGAAGACGAATGGAAAGGTAGAAACGATGAAGAAGAAAGAGACTGCCGTGGAAACTGTTGTGGAAACATCTAATACATTCTCAGTGCTACCCGACGAATGTAAGTCGACTACTGGGAACATCACG